CAGATAAGGTTTGATAGTGAGCCATGTCAGGAAATATTTGGACCCGTGAACTAAATCTTGCCAATGTGACAGGTTTGAGAAAACCACCTTAAAGGAAGAGAGAGAAATGTAAGTCTGAGGGAGAAATCTTCAGAGCTTAGGCCCTAGGCTGCTGAAAGAATGATCATCTATGTGTTATATTTCTCAAAGCAATTTTGGTAAAGGAAGAAACTTGGGTCAATCTTTAATTGGAATAGCTCCACTCAGAATGAAATGTTAACAGATGTATATCTCCTGACTGCACTCAACTCCTGTGTAAGTGCCTTTTTGTAATTAGTCAATATATTTTTGAATCAAATTATTCAGAGATGTTATTGCATCCTTCTAGAGCAGGTGAAACTTGAAGCCAGGCCTCCTGGCCCAGAGGTAGGGATACTACCATTGTGTCACAACAGCCATTAGGAGTCCTTTAGCTCTCCATTCTCATTATCAGTGCACTCCACCTGTATGTACTATACTTAAATTGATACAATTAATATAATATTCCTACCTCAGAGCCAGAAAGCACAGATTCTGGTCTATTTATTCCAGAGGCATGTGATAACATCGCTGAAAAGGTTGAGTTGAAAATAACTACAATTAATATATTGGCATATTGATGAAAATTCAGAATGTGCAGGAGGCCAGAATTGGTGAGCTCAGATATCTGTTGGGTTGTAGAGCTGGAGCAGGTTAGAGAGAGTGGGAAGGAGCAAGACCCTGGAAGAATTTAGATTCTAAAAGGATTTTAAAAAAAAGCAACACACCAGATAACACATTTGCTGGAGAAACAAAAGTTTCGAGGAGCAGGGAGGCGGGTGTTGAAGCAGCAGGTATGGGGTGCAGGGGATACTTTTTCGTCAATCTTGATCCTGAAATTCACAACCACCTTCTAATCTGAAAGCTGAAATAAAAGCTGAAAATGCTATTCAGGCAGCATCTGTGAAAAGAAAAACTGAGTTAGGCTAATTCTGGAGAGTTGAGAGCCTATGCTGATACTGTGTTTACTTAACATGTTTGAACAGAAAATTCAAAGCCCCACCTTATTGGTCAAATTATGCATTGCCCATCACATAATGAAAAGCATCCATTCATAGATGGCTTGAATATGTAAGAAAACTGAGTTATGAAACATCATTAAAGTATAAGAGTTGTGATATGAATTTAATGAGTTGACTTTGAGTTTATTTGAGAACTGAATGTTGAACACATTCATGTGTGTTTATATCAAAAAACATGTTTTTGGGACCTTCTTTAGGTTTATGTCTGGGAGGCTGAAACCTCCTTAGCTTCACTGACAAGGGTGTTGACGATTTAAGGTTTCTCGACTGCCCTCAAAGATCACTTCTATTGAACACCAGATGAAAAGCCAGTGCAGATGTAATTTATCGTCAGTGTTTCCTTCTAAAGAATAATTGTGGAGACTTGGTTCAATCAATATTATAGATTTTTGTTGTTAGATTTTGTAGTCTGCACCATAATGAGAGATATGGGACAGTGTCTGTTTCCTAATAGAAAATAAGGGATGTGTTTCCATGTCATTGTGGGTTTAAATTCAGAAGTAGAAAATGCTCAGGGAGAAATACTTGTCATTTGCATTACATTAACATTAAAAAAAAATTCCTGTGGTGGTACTCTGTGAGAATGCAAATCTTTTCACATCGCTCTTCTATTAAAGTGTGCCATTTTAACTTTTAAAATCAATAGTTACACACTTGTTATACTAAGCAAATTGAGTTTTTATTTCTCCAGTAAGTTGAGATTTAAAGTATATTCTTATTAAGAGTGTAGGTGAGCTGGATCATTTTGCTTCATGCAACTAAGTTTCCAATTCTTTGTGTGGAGATGTCTCAGCACAGATCGGAGAGAAAATTTAGGGATGTCTTGGAGTCTGATTTCCTCTCCGATGCTCTTGAGTGGAGGAGGCCGTGGAGCAGATTGCCCCACAGGCCATTGCACATAAGAAGCACATGAAAAGGCATAGACAAGATGCAGTATGATAAATATAGATCAGTTTATACCAAAGTTTACAAAGAATCTTGATCAAAAAAATGACTCAGACTCCCATGATGTACTTTGCTGTCAATAAAAGTAACCTGTGGTAGTACACCTCAGACCAAATTGCTTGCATTTAGTGATATTGAATACCTGATCCAAGTTAGTGCTGTTTAATCTTGAATTTTGAGTCAAGATTTTTACTTTGGCAACGGATTATTGCTTGCTGAATATAATTAATATTCAGGCGCATTTAATTCTTCATGAGACTTTGCTTCCATTTTAAAGGGTGACAAATAACTCTATTTCAGCTGACTGAATTATTTGCTAAGCCCTATGGAGACTTGACTACTAGGTTGATTAGGTAAACAGCAGAGCTACAATACTGGGCTGTTGCACTACGGAGGTCTCCTTGTAGTTGACTGTTCTATTATTTGTGTTGTGGAGTCATTCTCCACAGGCCTTAATGACCAACAAATCCAAACAAAAAATACTTTCTCTTGATATTTCGTTCAACTGGCAAACTAATTTGAATAGCAAATATTGACATCTGAGGATTAGCATTAGATAATAGTGTAAACCAAAGGGTTCAAGTAATGCCATGATCTATAACTAAATTGTTTGTAATAGTCATCTGAAGCCTGAAATGTAATGATTCTCTGATATTTACTTCCATGAACTTGTTTTTTAATAATTTATACTGGGGATCTAATGGAGAATTTGTTTTCACACACTATGTTCCAGGCACACCATGATGCATGGTAGTGTCTACAATTGCGCGCTTAACAACTGTGACTCAATGCTTGGGATGCTTATTGGGTTGTAATCCAAGTTAAATACTGGTAACGTAGCTATCCAAGCAGCTAGGTAATTGTAACTCTAGGTATATTTGATATATAAATCATGGATAAAGAAGAACCTAAAGTAATGAATTGAACAAAAAGATCACTTTAAACAAGTATAGACAAATGCAAGTAAGACAAGAAGTATGCTTCTTATAAATATTATTAAACAAAATTTGACACGGAGCTACACAAGATGAAATTGAGACAAGTGACCAAAACTTGGCCAAAATGTGTTCTCAAGGAGGCAAGAGTGATTCAGAGGCAGAGAGGTTTAGGGAGGGAATTTCTGAGCAAAAGACCTAGCCAGATAAAGGCAAAGCCACCTTGGTCTTGGAGTGATGAAAACCAGGAATGAATGAGATGCTAGAATTGGAGGCGTGAAAAGATCTTCAGGGTCTGTAAGGCTAGGCAAGGTTGGAGAAATTTAAAAACAAAGATGCAAATTATAAAATCCAAGGTATTACGAGACTGGAATCTAGTTTTGGCTAAAGAACATAAGTCTTAGTCCATTAATTGCATTGGTTGTACTCACATTATTCTGCTTGTCAAAGGCTCACATTTTGTTTATACTTAGTTTAGTATGTGGATATATTCCAGAAATTTGCTAAAAAAGAAACTGAAGACAAACCAGCACCTGTTGGTGTTAGACCAGTAAATTATACTGTGTCAAACTCGATGAAGCCAAATACCTTTTTAAATAAATATTTATAATCTGAGTTATTAATAGAAAAAATGAAGTAGCTTATTTTAAGTTTTTCAGAGCAAGAACATGAGCTGCTAATGCATAGAAATGGCACATTCTTTCCAACCCACTGTTTCTAAACAGATATTTTGGCTGAAAATTTTATTTTTGAGGATAATCATTGCATCTTTGTAATTTATTTAGCATGGTTTTGATTTCAGATGAATTTATGGGGGACATATTTGTTAAAAATAATTTCTGGGATTGTTCTCCTTTCACAGACTTACAGTGTCCAGAATTTTAAGGTTTTGCAAACACTACACAGTGCAGAAACATGTTTGGATGCAGGAGATAATGTTTTTTTAAGATGCATTAAAAATTAACATAGCCAGTATTTATACAGAGGGCAACAGGAGTGGTGTAATTCCACTAAGAAAAAATTAGGGTAGAAAGTATTAGGGAATGGCACCTGTTTTGAAACTACACCTTTTACATGCTCATTAGTATGAGAGACTTGATACAGAAAATGCTGGAAATAATTAGCAGGTCAGCAGTGTCTGTGGAGGTAGAAACTGAGGTAATGCCTTAGGTTATTAATCCTTTCTAGCTCTGATGAAAGGTTCATTATGGGCCAGTTTTGGAAGTTTTACACCAGCATTTTGTTTTGTCATTTAATCCTGCCTTTTAGTATAATGTAGACCTTACCTTTCCCAAACCTCTTTTTTTTTCCCCTGTCTCAGAACTTGTAACATCTTTAACTTGTTTCAGTTCTAATAAAAGCTCATCAACCTGAAATGTTCATTCTTTTTTCGCAGACATTGCACGACCTACCAAGTCTTTCCAGAATTTTCTGAATTTACTTCAGATTTTCAGCAACTGCTGTATTTTGCTTTTGACATATACACTAAGGATAATTTTGATGAATGGTTTCAGTATGTGCTCTGCAGCTGCACCCTATTATTGCCTTAGCCTTAGTTGCAGTGCTGTCAAAGGTACCATTGTCATTGTCAGGTGGCTCCAGGTAAAAGTTGAAGGCTTTATTTTACACAGCATTTGGACAGCATTCGATTACTGCTGCTTCGGAAACCTTCCTGCTCTTTCATTGTGGGAAGGCAAGTCAACGTTAAATGACTGGGTTTGTAGAAATTGAGGGGAGGATAAGCAGGATATGCATAAAAACTATTCAAGTGCATAAAGCAGCCCCATCTGGAAGACATCTAACTGAAATGAAGTTGTACAAAACCATTCCGTTGATATTAAAGCTAATTTTTATGGTTCTGACAAGTATGTAATTATGTTCAGTGGTGCTTTTCAGATTTTATCACAGTCAATAAACTGCAGTGGTAATTTCATTCCCATTTGACATATTTACATGGAAACATTTGATTGGAGGAATTAGTAACCCTGAAAGCCTTGATAGATATGTTTTAATGATCTGTGACCTGCACGGTCCCCTTACCTGTTTGTTGTTGCAATAGGGGAGAAGTCGTTCCTGTGTGACCTCTGCGGATTTGCTGGTGGAACACGCCACGCTCTCACCAAACACAGGCGACAGCACACAGGTCAGTCAAAGTCTCCACCTCTTTACAGTAGAACCTACCAGATAAACAAAGAATTGCATGTGACCTGCCTTGGTAGAAGAAAACACAGAGGGATTTCTGTACAATCCAACTGATAATCACTTTGATGTGAAGTTATTGACACAACAAGTGTTTTGTGGAAGGAGACACACTCTGCCTGTGATTTATTTGATTAACTGATGGAAAAGTGAGAGGAAGGGGAAATAATTATTATAATCCTGCATTTTTTCTGTACAGATCTGTGACAGAGGGGTGGATAATTCTGTAATAAAGTTAATGGACACACAACTCCTTATCTACCTAATTTTGACTGCGCACACTCTTTTGTTAGCAATTTTTGCGTTATGGTCAGATGATACCCTGCAGTTGCACATCCTTTATAAAGTGACTTGAATAATGTAGTATAAGGCACACATCAGTATGTTGCCTGTTGTATTTTCCTGTCTGTCTGCCATTTTAAACAAGCTATTCATGGAAGAAGTCATGTGACACTTACTTTTAGAGTCTTTTTTTCTTTCCCTGCAAGTGTGCAAAATCCACTTTTTTTTAAATGTCTCTCTCTCCATTACGCACTGAGTGGAGATTACGCTGTTGACAAGTAACTCACTCAAATCGCAACTAACATATGTTTGTGCAAGCCAATACAAAGTGTGTAAGATTAATTCGGGCACACATGTTAGCTCTCCTGAGTTTTCCTCCAAACCCCACGCACTCCCTTATTTCCTGCGCCCCCCCATTGTGTTTCAAACACTTCAAAATTGTTCTGGAGTCTCATCCATAAATAGTAGATTGATCAAAAGTTTTTGAGAAGATTTGTAGCTCAGGTTGTGGGTGAGGTTGTAGACATGCTTGCTGAGCAGGTATATTTGATTGCAAACGTTTTGTCACCCTGCTAGGTAACATCATCAGTGCACTTCCGGTGAAGCGTTGATGTTCTGTCCCGCTTGTTATTTATATGCCTCGGTTTGCTGGGGTGGTTGGCATCACTTCCGGCTCTATTTTTCAGTGGTTTGAATATCGGGTGCAGTTCAATGTGTTTGTTGTTGGAGTTCTGGTTGGAATGCCAGGCCTCCAGGAATTCCCTGGCATGTCTCTGTTTGGCTTGTGCTATTATGGATATGTTGTCCCATTCAAATTAGTGTCCTCCTTTGTCAGTGTGTATTGAGACCAGTGAGATTGGTCATGTCTCTTGGTGGCTAATTGGTATTTGTCTATCCTTATTGTCAGTTTTCTTCCAGTTTGGCTTATGTAAATGTTTTTCAGCCCTTGCATGGCATTTTGTGTATTACATTAGTTTTATTAGTTGTGGGTATGGGATCTTTTACGTTCGTCAGTAGCTGTCACAGGGTGATTGTTGGTTTGTGGGCTATCCTGATACCTAGGGGTCTGAGTAGTCTTGTGGTCATCTCTGATGTGTCTCTGATGTGTGGTAGGGTGACTAGTCTGGCCATGTTGTGTCGTCTTGTTGTTACAACAGAAACTGAAATACTTAGTTGACAACACTACCCACTCCATCCACTCCTCCCAAGAATTCCTCAACATCATCAAGGACACCAGAATAGAAGAGGACGAGATTATGGTATCCTTCAACATAACAGCGTTATTTACATCCGTAAACATTGACCTAGCCAAAGAGACAATTGACACACTGCTGGACGAATCAGGAAGGCAGGCACCCCACGACACCAACAGCGTCAACAAGGACAGCACCATGAAACTGCTGGATCTGTGCCTCACAACCCACTTCACCTTCAACAACCATATTTTCAAACAAATCAACAGAACACCAATGGGATCCCCATATCAGGACTGATTGCAGAAGCAATAATGCAAAGGTTAGAATGGACAGTGCTCCTCACTATACAACCCAAACTCTGGGTCCGCTATGTAGATGACACCTTCGTGATTATCAAACGCACAAGACTAGAAGAAACCCACTGACACACAAACAACATCCTCACCAGAATAAAATTCACAATAAAAGAAGAAAACCGACTACCCTTCCTGGACTTAATGATAGAACATAAGAACAACAGGGAACTCCAGACTGGCGTATAGAGAAAGACCACACGTACGGACCAGATACTCGATTACACTAGCAACCACCCCAACACCCATAAACGGAGCAGCATCAGGACATTATTCAAATGAGCCACAACACACTGTAGCAACCCGGAATTGCACAAAGCAGAACAGGAGCATTTATATGGAGTTTTTAAAAGGAATGGATACCTAAAAAACACAATCTGCCGTTAGCTCCGCAACAGACCATAACAAGAAGAGACGACACGGCCAGACGCACTAGTCACCCTACTGTACATCAGAGACACATCAGAGATGACCACAAGACTACTCAGACCCCTGGGTATCAGAGTAGCCCACAAACCAAAAACCACCTTGCAACAGCCACTGATGAATGTAAAGGATCCCATACCCACAACCAATATAACTAATGTAATAAACAAAATACCATGCAAGGACTGTGAGAAACATTACATAGGCCAAACTGGAAGAAAACTGACAATAAGGACACGAACACCAACCAGCCACCAAGAGATATGACCAATCTCGCTGGTCTCAATATACACAAAAAAAGGACATGAATTCGACTGGGACAACACATCCATAATTGACAAGCCAAACAGAGACATGCCAGGGAATTCCTGGAGGCCTGGCATTCCCACCAGAACCCCATCAACGAACACATTGAACTGGACCTGATATACAAACCACTGAAAAACAGAACTGGAAAAGATGCCAACCACCCCAGCAAACTGAGGCATATAAATAACAAGCGGGACAGAACACCAATGCTTCACTGGAGGCGCACTGATGATGTTACCTAGCAGGATGACAAAATGTCTGCAATCAACCACACCAGCTCGACAAGCATGTCTACAATCTCAGTAGACTGATCTCCAGGACACTGCTGAGAGCAGACACGGGGGGAAAAAATCTTCAAAAAATATTTAAGGAAAATATTGCGTGCCTTTTAAAAAAAAAATCATATTAACGCTTTCGTTTATTCATAAATTAAAATCTTGGAAGTGGAGAGCAGTGCAATTTAGCTAAAGATGAGGAGCATTCAGTTGGGCACTGAAGGGCCTGTTCATTTCTTAATTTGCTTGCCAAGGAAGGGGACATGAGCCTGGGCGTGTTGGGCAACAATGGAGCCAAAACAGATGTTGAAGTATGAAACTAAACCGAGGTCCTTTTGCTGATGGGTTTATTTATAGAATACAGCAACACACATCTCTGCCTCCTGCCTACCAACTCCAATGTCCCGGCAGTCCAATTTTGTAGGTGTTCATGACACTTAATCAATAAATACCCTTCACCTGTTTATCTTAACTGTAACAGTACAATCAATGTAACATTAACAAACCAGTGATGGGATATGAGAGGTATTCGATGAAACCTCCAGAATACTTTCAACTGGAGTTCCTACTCGCCCCTCCTCGTGGCACAACAGAGATTTCAAGCTCAACAGAACGTTTGAGTTTAAACTGGTGTCCCTAGTGTTCTTGTAGTACCAACACATTGTCCTTCCTTTACTGTCCTTCCTCCTATTTCATGTTGAACAATTTCATCTCCGTGAATAGCAATCGAACAGTGCTGGCAAGGAACCCAAACTGTTGCTCATGAAGACAAAGTCATTTCAACCTGCATAAATAATCAATGTTATAGAAATACCAGAGCTAGAATGGTCTTCTAGACAAATTTTGATATTACTAATGGCTGGGAAAGAATTTCCCATCTTTTTTGTGCTTTTACTTGATTCCTACACTCTAGAGAGGTGGAGTGTTGATATATTGTGAGGTATAAAGTATCTGAATTGTGTGCGACAGATTGAATGGATCAAGGGATCTTTTCCTGCCTGTCATTGTTCGAATGTTTATGTTATTACCGATGGTATAAATGAATGGCAAACGCAACCCAGCATTTGAACTGTGATGTGCTGGCCACCTTCTAAACCTCTTGATTCTTGTTCTTTCTTTCAAATTTTTTTTTTCTTTATAAAACTCTACTGATTGAAATATGGAACGATCTGAAATGTGTTCGTTTTATGTGAAACTTAACTAACCAGGTCTGATAAAAGGTTAATCCAGTCGTGACCATTTAATTGAGAGCTGGTACTATATTATGGTGAAAGATGCAAAAATATGCAATCTATGACTTTTAAAACTTCACGCCTTATAATACAAATATCAAAGGATTTTTGAGATTGTGAACGTGTACTTTATTTTAAGTACATATGATTGGTCTTCAGACTTGGTCAGTAGGTAAATGCTTCAAAAATTAAAACTTTGGTAGCATGGTTTTCTAACCCTTACACTCTGATAATTATCAGAGTCTGTCAGAGATAAAAAATAATGAGCATTCCTTTTGTAGGTGAAAAGCCATTCAAATGTGACCAGTGCAACTTCGCTTCCACAACACAATCTCATCTGACTCGTCACAGACGTGTCCACACAGGAGAGAAACCTTATAAGTGTCCTTGGTGTGATTACAGGTAACAGTTCATTAAACATTAGTTGATGTGAAAAAGATTAAAGGTGATGAGAAAAGGTTTATTCAAATTAAAAATACATTGCCATTTAAGTACATAACCAGCATCAGTAATTACACATTTAATTAGGAATTGCATTTCTCAAATATTGCATTTTTAAGGGTGTTTGGCAGCCAGTTCATGTCTGTTTAATTTCATTATTTGTTTTCAGAAGATGGTTCAGAGTATTTTTTAATTGCATATCAAAGTCTGATGTTTAAATGTGGAAAGATAATGACAAGAATGACTTTCTTATTTAGTAGAAGTTACACTTGTGTTTGAAAGAATTTCCTGAACAAGTTACAAATGCTGATTATGTTGAATTTCATAAATTCAGTCGAAGCTGATTGAATGAATAATCTTAACAAGCAACTGCATTAAATTATTCCTTGTGTATGTTTTACTCAATTCAGTCAGCACCTGAATGAGAGAAACAAATTAACAGATATTAACTTTCTGTCTTTGAAATTCTTCCTGAACAGTTCCATATTTCTGAAGTTCCCTATTTTGTTTCAGATATCAAACATGTTCTATGTTTCTTTTTCCGAGTTTACCTCTTATACATTTCTTGTTTCCTATTGATTTTCCATGCCTAATAATATCTTCAATATTTGATAAACATGCTTCAATTAAAGGTAAATATAAATACACTGCTGCAGCCTTGATAAAAGCATGCACTCTGTCTTTAAAAACGTGATTGCTGTTTTTCGCTTTGTTAGCATTGTTTCAGATCAGAAATACACGGGAGCTGGATCCCAGTTTGGATATATTGGCTCGAAGACCTGTATTGTTCTCTTACAAGCAGAGATGGGTCTTAAAAGATATATTCAAAATTATGAAGGGTTTGGTAGAGTAAATAATGAGGAACTGTTTCCACTGGCAGAAATGTTGATAACTAGAGGACACGGATTTCAGGTAACATTGGGTAGTTGAGAAGAAATTATTTCAGTTATGACCTGAAATTCATGAACAGCAGTGATGCTGGATGTAGATTCAATTGTAAATTTCAATAGAGGACTGGAAAGGAAAAGGTTTGCAAGGGTTTGGGAGCAAGGGCAGATCATGTGCAACTAATTGGAGAGCTAGCACAGAAATGAAGGGATGAATAACCTCCTTTCGTGTTGTATAATTCCACATTCAGGTTCAATATAGATAAAATTAGAACACAATTTCAAAATCAATTCTTTTTCCTATTTATTAGCAGTCTTGAAGTGCAGACAAGAGCGTTTTCCTTTACAACAAGAGAGGAGATAAACTGCAAATGTTGGAAATGACAAAAAGAAAAATTATCTTGCGCTTTTTGTGACCACTTCTCAAAATGCTTTATTCCCCATAAATTACTTTTGAAGTGTAGTTACTGTTTTGTAAAGTAGGAAACAGAGCAAACAACAAGCTCCCAGAAACAGCAACATGCCGATCTGTTTTTTTTTGTGATGTTGGTTGTGCAATAACAGCCAGGACAGTGGATATAACTCCTCTGTTTTTCTTTGGAATAGTGCTATGTGGTCTTTGGTGCCTGCCTACACAAACACATGATTTAATGTCTCATTGGAAAGGTGGTACCTCCTACAATGCTGTACTCCCTCAGCTCAGCGCAGAAGTGTAAGCCTTGGTTTTTGTGGTGAAACTCTGGAGTAGGACTTGAACACGAAACCTTGTGTTCCAAAGACGAGCGTACTGAGCATTGCCACACAATATCTAAAATATAAAGAGAATATATGTTGACAGTATCTGCAAACGGAAAAGACAGATTATTGTAGTTTGTGTTTACATGCATATGAACTGGAAATTGGAGGATTAGCAAATATTTAATGGGACTGAACTGAACAAAAGGTGTAGGGAAGAGAACAGCAAGAAGACATCATGAATCAGGAATAGTGATAGCATTTAATGAATTAGTTCAAGCAAATTTCTTGAAAACCTGAAAGGGATGAAACTGATGGATAATATGTAAGGAGCATCTCGGAGAGGCAATAAAGAACAAAATAGCATGAAAACAGCTGGGTCAGTGAACATGAGAAGGCAAGATGCACATAGCAAAAAAGGGGGCAAGCGCCTGGAGTGGCAAGGAGAAGGGAAAATAAAAGCATTAAGGTTAAAAATGCAAAATATTGTCGAAAACCACTGCAAATCCACCTGTATGAGGAAAGAGGTCCGTATTCTAGAACAAAAACAGAAGATTCTGCAAAAAACTCAACAGGTCTTGCAGCATCAGTGGAGATAGAAGTAGAGTTCATGTTTCGGATCCATTATCTTTTAGCAGAATTGGGAAAAATTGGAAATGGATAAAAGTTTTGAGCATTTGAAAAGGGAGAGGGTGGGAAATAGAACGAAGGGGAAGGTGTATGATAAGATGGAGAGTGGGTGAGATGAAATGATAGATGTATTGAGTAATTATCGTGTATTCTCAGTGTAGCTGCTCCCAACCCCACAAGAAGGCTATTCTAGTTAAATGTCGTATATCACCCACCCCTGCTTCTCCTTAAATACTGACAGATTTGTTGGGTAGTCCCATTTACATGCTTCTGAGAAACTGGAGAAGAAAATGAAGGCCTAAAGTGGGCCAATTCAGTATCCAAATTCCATAACTGTCAAGTTTCCAGGAGAAAGGTACAATGCTTACTCTAAAAGCTTTCACTGAGTTTGTTTAAAACAGCTTAGCATGTCAAAAACAGACGTACTCGAAATGGAAGAGAGACTTCAAGCTATGAGCCACAGGAATATCTGATCGTATTCACCGAATTACTCAATTCTGTTTTATAAATTTTCCAACTAATTTGCATTTGACTATGCCTATATAGGGGCCCATAAAGAAGGCTTTCATTTTTGAGGCAGTTTTTATGACCTCAGGACTTGCCAAAAGGGGTTTCAAACATTAAGTAATTTTTTTTCTTAATATCACATCTCTAACACTGCTGCACTGCCTCAGTATGGGAATTTGCAACAGAGGAACAAATGGCACGCATGTACCCTTGTCCACTCATAAAGGCATGTGCCAGCCTTAAAGGAACGAGCACGGCAAAAGCAAAATAGAGGATAGTTTGACGAGTATGTTTTTAAAAAATGTCTGCAGAACATTAGGAGTATGTCTTCAAAATAATATTTCTTAAAAATTGTAGCATTATCATGGAAATGGAAATATTTTAAAAGGTACCTTTGCACCATTGTAGTTGCATATATTTTCCTGCTTTTGAAATTAGTTTAAACTAGATTTAGGTATTTGCTTATGAAATTACAGAATACAGTGTCATGAAGATATTAACTTGCAGAATTTGTTCAGTGAAGTAAATGATATTCTGTCTGGGAATGCTTAGTTCAGTCACATAGGTTTGGTTAACAGTTTCAGACTGAAATCCCAGTAATTAAAGTCTGTCTGTGTGTGACCATGTGAATACTGCAAATTGAATGTAAAATGAGATAAGTTATTGCACATTTCAGAAGGATCTTGTTACATGTTTTCCGGAGCTCAGTCCTTACAGCATAGACCTGTGTTCTTGGATTGAATAGTCATAGGGGAGTGATTTTGTTTCCAACGTACATATCTTGCATCTATCTGTAAGGTGGTATTTCTGCATTGTATCTTATAAAAGCTAATGGGCATTCACCATGTGTAATATTTACTTGTGCCTCATTGTTTATAACCTTGCTAACCAGTGGTTTATATTTTAAGCATCATTCTCGACCGAACACCACAAGGTACTCTAGAGGTTTAAAGATAAAACCAACTGCCATCACCACGTTGTCCAAACAGCAGGCAGTAAATGCCACCTTGATTATGGTTGTCTGCATTCTATGAACAATGTGATTTTTTAACCACTGTGGTACAATTATCAACTTAGATTCCCAACTTAGAGGTATGGCAGCGTTGATATTGGAGCCAGCAATCATAAAGTAAATCTGCATTTTTGCATGCCATTTGTTGGATGTAAATGTTTGCACCAATTCCTAAGTGTCCTATTCACTTTTTACTAATTCTGAAGCTGAGAGGTTAAAACACAGGGCAGATGTCTGGTGGAGCCCTATTAATTGGAAGTGCTAACAGTATTGCATAGCTATACACAAATGGCTCCTAAACAATGTTCCTTGCCTCATGTTTAGTTTATAATTTAAAAATACATAATTTTTGAATGGGTGTAAAATATTCATATCTAGGATTTTAAAGACCTACATGAATAAGATGTGGGTTTAAATAATCTAAATTATAAATGAATTATTTTTTGAAAATATTAATTATATGAAAAGAGTTTTTGTGTGGGCCAAGAAAGTGCTCTTACTGAAGAGAATGTTAAAAGCAGAATATTGTGCCAGGAGTGATGCAACACAGGGTTTGTTTTGCAAGTGAGGAAGACCCATAATTTATTCATGACACAGGGCACGTTAATCATTATATCTTTATCAGAAGTGAAAAATTCCCAGTATGACACAATTATCAGTCTCCAATCTACTGTTTGTTACTTGGACCTTAATTGTTTCCTTTTTGGAACAAAAGACATGATGTGAATTGTTTTTATTTAAACGTTTGATTATTTTCTACATATAAAAGGTTAAATTTCCCAGTTAAACCTCCAAATCTTCTTTTTTGAAGAGTTTGTAATTGTACATGAAATGCTACTATATTGTTTGTATTAAATATAGAAGATATTTTCACAAATATGTAAGGTAATAGACTAGTGTCAAAAATGTATGGCAGTGTTAATGGTTATGTGCATAGATTGTAAAAAAGCATTTATCAGCATCTTAATATCTAATATGTCTTTCAGAAAGGGAAATCTCATTGCTCAGCTTTGCAAAAAGCAAATAGGTTGTATTGTTTAAAATAACAGTTTATCATTTCCTTTCAAGATGTTGATTTCAACGGTGATTGCTGCTAGGAAGCAGGAGACTTAATTGTTCTCCGTCATATTGTGTGATGTGTTTCATTCTAGAGACACAAATCAAAATGTAACAGTATCTTTTCAATGAAG